CAAATAGTCGTTCGAAGAATCGCTTCATGCCACCCCCTTCCGCCGCCAATGTCGAAATTCATTTTCGTTATTTAATTGTACAGTACCAGTGTAAACGATTATCCGGTTAATCTTGCATCATCCGATTGAACGATTCGATTAATCAAATAACGAAGGTCCGTGCTTACAATATCGTTTATTTAACTGAACATTTTTGCCGTGCGATGCGACGATCACCAATTATTTGTATAAATGCTAGTAAATCGATCGGACGCTGCGAGGCCTTCGTCGATATTTGGGTGACTATTTTGGCGCATTGTCCGCCATTGCGATATCACGCGTCTCGTGTTTCGTTCCCGGAACGTGTTTCACTGTTATACGCCGTCCTCTGTCGCTTATTTTCGACGTCCCCTACTCGCCCAGGCTCTCTCTCACGCTTGACTAAATCGCATTCCCTGTCACACAATTTACGTTTTCGAAATTCACGCTTTGTCAAAAATATCTGTCTCGTGTATACCCTTTCGAGATTTACTCTAGAAATACAGCGACACAGGTATGCTAGGTGAGAGAGAGATAGAGGGAGAGGAGTATTTATGGAAAATATTATAGAGAAATATTTGACATTATTTTTTTCCTGTATGGAAGGATTTAAGTTCTAATGGCACATACCATAATCAACAGTAACACGTCACACGGTGCGTCAGTCACACGTCGAGCCGGTTCGTCCGAATACTGCGAAGAGTAACACGTAACTGGGACGGAAAGACATCGGCGAAAACTGACCGTGAGCCTGCCTGTATTGTTTACGTTTGGTCCTATCTACAAACCACGCCTCTTAGCCACACTACTCGTGTTTGGCCAGAGTTCCTTAATAGGAGTCTCACACATTGTAGGCGTAAAGGTTGAAATATAAATTTTGTAATTTAAAATTTATTTACAGTCAACCTTCTTGTAACGCGATAATTATAACGGCCCTTTTTAAACACTGCTTATTGCATTGTTTTGTAAACTTGGACAACTCTCATATAACACGAATATTTTAGGTATATATTCACGCAGTGTTTAATTTAAAAGTTAAAGTAATTACTTGGTATATACATACTGAATAAGTTTTTTGTAAAAGTTATTCACAATGTAACTACATCTTTTTATTTTTATAATGAAATTACTTGCATTGATGTGGTTTTTCAAACGTAGATTTAATTCAAGAAAGTATAAGGTATTATAAATGAAGTATTAATAAGACTATATAGAAAAATTGGATTACATGTATATACCAGTAATTGTTATATATAATATAGCCTGACTAACCTAATTGTAATCAATTTCTATTTAGGAGACTAACTGGCAACACATAGTATCTTATCTCAATGCAAATTACAAATAAAAATAAGCCTCATCACATAAGTAACGAAAACTACATTTTCAAAATCCACACTCCTATATTCCCTATTCACATATCCCTGTGATCACCAATACATTAATACAACAGCAAAATACAATTATACTTTCCAAATACTCCACTGCCGCATCAAAAAACCTCACCAATTACTTCCTCCCAACCTCATCCTCTAAAAAATGAAAACAAAAAGAAATGATCCCAACTCCCAATCCTACAGAGCCCAATCACACATCACAAATCACACAATCGAACACAAAATATCCATCGTTATTCCCAACTCCCATTGTTCGAGCAGCAGACGCTGCAGAGGAATGCTAAATCCCTTCAAAAGGGAACAACGCATCGGTGTGGCGCGGTTATCGATGCGTCAGAACACCTTGGTGCATAAAGGGGCATTAAACATCCCGCGATCGCTCGGTCGGGGGCTAGGCAATCGCGATTCAGCCGGGTCCGTGCAAACGTCGACCGATCTAGGTCGATACGTTTCGAAGGTAATGATTAATACGATCCTCGTAATCGAGAGGCGGTCAGCAATGCGCACGGGTAGCAGCAGGCCTGTCGGTGTGGCCGCCGCGGATGCATTCGATCGGAGATTCGCTCTAACGGGGAACGAGAGAGCGATCGGTAGGATGGTAATATAGGACGTGTGTAACCAGGAGAGGGTTGCGACGGATCATGCCAGTTGGAGGACGTACATATCGTATTCGACGGGATTACGCAACGTGGTGCTCTCTGATTGGCTCTAATGGCAACGCTGCAAATGGCTCGACATCGTTATGGTTAGCTGAAACGAGTCCATTGTTGTTCGGGGATACAATGCGCGGGCTACATTACTCGGTAATTAGCGCGAACGGTTCTGGAGAAAAAGCGTCATCGCGAATGAAGTTCTGCAAGGTGGAACGTGCCTTTCGAGGAATTGGGAGAGGGGTCGTGGAAGGAGGCGCTTCGAAGAAGTCGTACGTTTCTTTTTGTGACGTAGATAGACCTGGACAACTCTTGCTGGTGACCTCTCCGATGATTTAATGGATAGTAGATGTGTTGGAAAGAATTCTTCAATTAATTAAATGAATATTTATATGCTGGAAAGAATTTTTCTTGAATTAGTTGAAGAGTTGATTTTCTTTGGAAAATGGACAATGAGTTATAATGTAGTTTGGATCATGTAGTTTTGATTATGTTTTGCAAATGCTATCTGTATTTAGTAATTTTGTTTGTTACCTTTGGGATGCATGAATAAAGTAGTGGAAGTGTTGGAGAGGGTTCTTCATTTAATTGAATAAATATTTCTATGCTGGAAAGAATTTTTCCTTGAATTAGTTGATGAATTGATTTTCTTAGGAAAATGGATAATGAGTAATAATGCATTTTGGATTATGTAGTGTTGATTAAATTTTGCAAATGTTATCTGTATTTAGTAATTTTGTTGATTACCTTTGGGATGTATGAATAGAGTAGTGGAAGTGTTGGAGAGGGTTCTTCATTTAATTGAATAAATATTTCTATGCTGGAAAGAATTTTTCCTTGAATTAGTTGAAGAATTGACTTTCTTAATAAGTAATAACACATTTTTGATTATGTATCCTGAATGAAATTTTGCAAGTACAATCTGTATTTAATAATTTTGTTGATTACCTTTGGAGTGCATAAATGGGGTAATGATTGTGTTGAAAAGGGCTCTTTATTTAGTTAGCTGTGAAAATTTCCATGAGAATAATAAGTGATATATTTAGCATTGTATTTTGGATCAACTTTAATGAAATTTTGCAAATGAAGTTTATATTCAGTAATATAACAACATTAATATTTGATGACATTCGAAGTATCAGATAACAAACATCTATTTTGCATGTTCTCTGCAAATATTAATACATATTTATTTATTTTCTTAATTTTTGATTAACATCGTGTATCGAATAATCGTGTATTTTGAATTAATTTAAAAACAGAGAAATCGGAAAATTCCATTTAATAATATTTATTTTATTCAATAATGAAAATTTCAAATTTGTTCTCTAGAAGTGTTGCTTGGACAAAATCTATTATTTATACTTGAATATTTTTTAATGTAAATATAAATGTAAAGAATTCTCTTTTTATTGACAATGACTGTCATAAGACAAATGAGCTATATATTCTGGATTAATTCCATTAAAATTTATGAACAAAGCCAAGAGAAATATTTCATTCATATTCAGTAGTTTAGTAGTATTCAATATTTAATGATCTGTGAAGTATTTGATAATTATTACTGACAAATCGATGATATAATAGAAATGCTGACATAATATTTGCAATTATGAGAATCCTGTTCTAATTTTATGTGTATACATTGTTTTTATCAAAATTAGTTTAATCCCTCATTAATTACAGACAACTACCTTATATTAATCCTATAAAATACTCTTTTGAACTATTTTACACTTTTTAGAGCACTAATATATCCTGACATAACCTTACATCTACGAATTATAGCCACAAAGAAGCTTATTAATAAACGACATTCTAAAAATATGAAAAATAATTTAAGCACCGTTCAATTTTACGCATATACACACTACACCTTATGTAATCGACACTCTTCAATCTATCAAACCCATATATAACCTAATTACTACCCTCCATTCAACACCGCATTTCGCAATTTTCCATTTCATAACGAATCCCCTAATAGTGATGCAACTAACCTGATATATTCCATTTATGTTCGAAGACAAATCCATTCCCACTTACGCAACTGCCAGAAACACTAGTGCAAAAATAGCGAGCGTTGGCTAAAGATACAACGTGTCACTAAAAATTAACCGTTTTTTCCTTCGGTAGCACACGTCGAGCGCAAATTAATCGTGCGACGCGTGTACGCGCTCAGAGGGCGAACGTACACAAGCCGAGCAGGGTTCCACGAATCATGAATAACCTAGCGACGATCCTGATCTGCAATGCAATATAAAATAGATTTCATGGACAGCCGCGGCAAACGTGCGCGGCGCCACCCTCGCGTGTTGATCAAACGCCGTGCGACGATCATCGACTCAACTTGATTAAATAAAGAGAGCATGTAACCTCTGAACGATCACGGCTGGTTATTGCATGGGCCACGATCCGTAACGCAACTTGAGACTGGCAACGTCAAACGGAATTTTAGGTGAAATTTATGCAAAGTAAAGGAAAGAATTTCAACTACGCGACGGGTTGTTGTTAGGTTAGTAAAAAGAATCGAACATTTTTCTAAATGAAAAACTAACCTAAAATGCTATCTTGCATATTTATGAATTTTTGTCGCATTGTTTATAACTTCATTATAATTTTAGGTGAATTTTATATCAAACAGAGGAAAGAATTTACAAGTACGTGATGATTTATTATTTGATTGGTGAAAATACTATATTAGATATCTATGATCTTCTGCCACGCAGTTATTTAAAATTATGAGAAAATATGTCATATTATCATAAAACATTCGATGAATTCATCGAATTCAAATGAAACACGACAATCGGTAATCTAAACATTAATCTAAATGTACATATCTACACTCAAACATTCTCAAATTTAATCAAGGTTCATAGTTACAGAAAAAACGTAGATATTCACAGAAAAATGCATGTTCTCAAAGACTCACCTATGACCATTCCGCGAGGCCAGATGTAGCGGGGTGTGAGGGAAAATCACCGACGAGGAAGAATTCCGGAGAGGCACGATCAGCTCTGGATACGTACTAACGAGCAATTGCACGGTTTCCAATCTATAAAAGATAATTAATTTTACAGAAGAAGCACAAAGCCAATTAGCAGCGACATCGATTATTCAGTCGCGACGATCGATTATGCCCGAGCAGTTTCAGCTTCATAGACCAGCTCAAAAAACCGTTCGAATTTCGACCAAATGAATTATAAACGTACTCGAAATTATGAGCTAACCTCAAACGTAAACGGAAAAAAAAGGATCTAAAACGAAGTGAAAAAAAATAGGATATGAGGAAAGAAGAGGTGGAAAAACGAAGGAAAAAATCCTACGTGCAATTTACCTGCCATATTGTGCGGCGAGATCCAGCGCGGATTCTCCCCGGCTGTTGCGGATACTGGGGTCGCATCCGTATTGCAACAGCTGCGCCACCACTTCCGTGTGCCCATACTGTGCCGCGCAGTGCAGCGCTGTCTCGTTGTCCTTCGTCTGCGATCATACAAAGCCGGTATTTCGAGTTAACGGATACACTTCGTTTCGATAGCTGGCATCAAAGTGTTCCAATTCAAAATGGTTACGGCAACGTGAAATTACTCTCTACCAGGAAAAAAAGGCGAACGTGTTTACTGAAATAAGCGACGAGATTCTTCGAACGGAAACATAACCAAAAAGGTAGGTTATATCGACCGCGATCACGCGATCGAACGATGAAATTGACACGCTATTGGAAACGTTCTAACGAACGGAACGTTTCGTGAAATAAAGAGATTCGTTTAAAATAACTCTCTATACACCATTTGTGCTAACATGGAAATTACATTTTGTATAATTTTTAGATCTGGTACATAACCAAGTAAACGAATGACATAAAAATATGAAGGCAAATTTGAAGCATGGTGGAAATTTAAGCTACAACCTCGTTACTGGTTAATAAGTAGCTAACCAATGTTATTTTACACAACACAAGTAAGCGATCTTTGCGATAAGTATGTCAATATATTCCAAAAAGAAAGAAAAAAATTTTCGCGATTTTATATAACCAATATCACAGAGTTATGAAAAGAATTTATGTATATCGTTTCAGGAGCTCCAAGAATCTCTTCATTATTCACCGGAGATCGAATGAAAATAAATTTTACGAGGAAATTACAGAAATTCCGCATCAAGGTATGTCGATAAAAATTTCAATAAAATAATAAATAATAAATTTCTCCACTGTCTGTGATCGATGCAACAAATGATTTAAGATATTACCATCATTTAACTCTTTAATGACATTAAATAACAATAAAAAAAAAAGAAAACAAAACAGGAGAAGAATAAATTTACTGACCGTAAGATTCACTTTAGGTACCGAGGGTCCTTGGGTAAGAATTAACCGCACGATTTCAGCGTCGCCCGCCCAAGCTGCCAAATGAAGCGGCGAAGAGCCTTTAGCGTCGACGACGTTAGTGGAAGCCTCATATTGGAGCAATAACTTTACCACCTCCCTGAGGATAAAAGCGTTTCCCCGAATTATCGTCAGAATGTGCGCGACATCGATTAATCGCCGATCAGAGGGAATATTAATGAGAAACAAAGGGCTAAGAGTGGGTTCTTGTTATACGTATGTCAATCAAATTTTTATTAAAATTCTTTTAGTTTTTAATTCAAATCGAGTAGAATGCAGGGTCCTTAATTAAAACGTACTTGTGTCCGTTTAAAGCTGCATGGTGAAGGGCAGAATATCCACTAGCATCTTGCACGTTAGCCCCCGGACCCCGCCGTAGGCTGTAAATAGATAAAATAGATTTGTACTGGTATATGACACTATCTTATTATTATCTATAATATATAATATGTAAGTGTTTATATAGAGTAATATTACTAATAATATTATTGTTTATATAGGAAATAATCACAGTGACATTGATAAGTTATAGAAGATATCTACATAGAAACACAAGTTCTTATATCAGTTGTAGGAAGTTGGTAGTCTGACTGATATGCAATGATTCACTATTGAACGACGTTATTATTCAGATTCCTTCTGTTCAAGGACTACATATAATCACGCTTAATGGTGCGGATAATTTTTCATAGCTGATTCATACCGCTCATATTTTAGTATACTGAAAGCCAAAGGTTGTTACAAAATTGCGTTATAATTCATGTCTGAATATATTTTGTTCATTTTAGTACAGAAAGAAACGAATACATTTATGTTTAAATTAATTATACTTATGTTATGTTAAGTTGAAAATTCTAAGAAAATACAATTTTGTAACAAACATATTTCTTTCAGTAGTATCTTGTTAAAATATCGTTTTCATTGTTATAATAAAAAAAAAAATAATTACATGATATATCTTAGGTGAGGTATCACGTTCAATTTACTTATACTTGGCCCAAAATTGGAAGGAATTAAATGATTGCTGAAAAATACAAAGAAATGCTACTTCATATCAAAATTTATAAAATAAAGGAGATATATGACATAGAAATACATTAAATACATTATATATATATACATTCCAGCCCTGTTAAGAACACCACATGTCCCAAGACCTTTAAAACACTGGTTATATACATAAAGCAAAGGCAAATTTACAAGCAACGCAACATAAATAAGAGATCATCGTCATCGCATGATAAACTTCTAATCTCTGAAGACCAATTTCCAACACATATCCCTCCATAAAGGATGAAACTAATGTCACCAAGTACTGAGACTAATTTTACCAAATACCCAACATACATCCTTCTATAGGGTGTCCCAAAATTCAGGCAAGAAGTAATTTTGATAGAAAACACAGATTTTCAATTAAAAATTGTAAATATTGCTCAACAATGAAGACGCGTTTTTAGTAACCCTAAACTGTCAACTGTCACGCTGTCTTTTCCTTTTCGTTGGCAACACTTTGCCACTCAAATGGCGCAAAATTGAAATCTTGCGTGAGTTATGGGACATCCTTTATAAACATTAAGCAAGGTTAAAATATATAAAATTGTTACAGCTCCAAGAGAGTTTACGTTCTCTGCCCCAAGATAGATACCACGGCTTCGTATGAGTCCCACGAGGGATATTAGTTTGAAGCAAGCCTCGATACCGCTTTGTTTGGTGCGACGGTTCGAAGCAACCCCGATTGTCAGGTCGCTGCATCAGCGAGCACCGGGGTAACGATCATCCAGCAACGGCCGAGGCCCATTTCCGCAATTAGGAATTCATGTTTACTGCCGGTAACTAATACCCGGCGGCAATATGGGCTCGCAGAGGCAAAGAATCGCACTACACGCAACGAGTCACCGTATCGCAGCGCAGACAGAGTTAGGTATCACAATGGGTCTCGCGGACAGGAACAGGTTCGCTAATGAAGCTTCCTGCATCCAACACATGTTCTCATTACTGGCCTTTGTTGCGTTCGTGCCGAGATAAACGCCCGCTACGCTCTGCTCTGACGTAAATACAATGTAAACGCGTCTTTGGATCAGCCCCCTTGGGACGTACGCGACACCTTGCTTTTCCTTCCCTGCTCTCTTCTTTGCTTTTCTCCAACGTCGTCGGCTGTTTCTTTTGTGTTGCCTGTTCGATCGCGCGGAGACGCGACAACGATGGTACGTCACCAAGCAATTTCTCGTTATCCCGTGTTCTCTTCTTAAGTGGATTTGATTAGCGCCGCTCGAGGCTGGTCACTCAGCCACCCTTGAAGCGTCGAGTGGCGAGCGATCAAAGCCGATCGAATTGGCTGGATTCGATGAACGACCGTGACGCGGAGAGACCCGCCGCAAAACGGCGACGAGGGTTAAGAACGGGGCAAAGAGCCGCTGACTCGTTTGATCTTCGACCTTTTTCATATAGTGTGGGATTTGTCAGGTAATACGAGTAATTGCTTGGATGAGCTTGTTGCGTATATTGTCTGCAATTACTTCTCGTAGCAATACTGAAATTGTTTTCTGATGCATATTTTTTTTTTTTCATTAACTTGTTACGATTCATAATTTTAAGCATAACATTTGGAATTTACAATTTTTTCGTCCCAATTAAGAATGTATTATTAAAAAGAATAAATAATTTAATTTGCAATTTTAAAATCGTTTTATCTTTACAGAGGGTGCTTAAGAGGTTGATAATGCAATAAGAAGGAAAGGCTCAGGTAACTTTTGGATGCTTACTCGGATGAGAAACTGAATCAAGAAATTGGTATGGTATTAGGTAAATTAAGCATAACGTTTGGAATTTACCATTTTTTCGTCCCAATTAAGAATGTATTATTAAAAAGAATAAATAATTTAATTTGCAATTTTAAAATCGCTTTATCTTTACAGGGGATGATAAAGAGGTTGATAATGCAATAAAAAGGAAAGGCTCAAGTAACTTTTGGATGCTTACTTGGATGAGAAACTGAATCAAGAAACTAGTATGGTATTAGGTATGGAAACAACAAAATATTAAGTACTATAATCAATAAATAAACCGGTTGATAAAATTTCAACCGATTCATAGAAGATAAGGTTAGTAAAGTGAGAAAGTCTTTGGGAAAGTAGCAAGATTTATTAACGACAAGATGTCCTCATTTTCTGGACCTCCTGACCTTCATAGTAGCAGAGATCTCACAGGAGCATATGATCCATTTGATAATTCTTAGGATAAGGAGACCTGGAACAAATAGATCCTAATTCCAAATTAATCCTGCTATTAAGAAGACCGAATAGAAAAGTGACCTAAAACCAAAGAGATTCCAGCACCAAAGATATATTGAGGCCAAGTAGCCTTTGAGACCAAAGTGTACCTAGCACTAAGTGATATGACCCATTGTAAGAGTCCTAACTAAGTGAATTCTGTCACCAGGTGATGCCAAAGGGTCCTTGGCACCAAGTCAGCTCTTAATCCTAAGAGGATGCCTGGAGAATCCTGGAGTTGACATTAACATTGTAAGGATTTTGAGGACAATTAATACTCTAATATCCAACAGTCTACTATGAAGTTGTAAACGATTCCTTTTTCTAAGGTTCTAAACAATTCTATCTGTAATGATACGTTCTTTGACTTCCATGGATGTGCAATTATCAGACTTTACATTTTTATATACAACAAATACAACAAAAGCTATCTTCAAGTATTTCCTGGATATATCATGAGGCAATTAACAGCGCTGAATTAATTATTCTTATTAATTATTTTAAATTAATTTAAAATAATTATTTTTCAATAATTATCATAAGCAATTCCATCGACCTTTTTATACACGTTAAAATATCGATATGAATAACTCGAATGGAGAATGCACAAATTTCACTTAAATTTAATGATTACTTATCTTTTATCAATGCTTTTGCAGAAACGTTTTTCGATAATCTCGCCGTAAAACACTCAGAAAATATACACAAATGAGATAACAGTTCGGCGTAGCAAGCCTATCTGAAAGATCAAATCAGTAAACTCGGCAAACGCCAAAAAATATACTATTTGTGCGATTCGAGGGGCACAGAATCGACGCCACGGAAAAACAACGTAAGGGAACGCAATATTTATCTTGCTCGATTAATACACATCATAACCGTGAGCTACCGTGTTTGCTCAGTTCTCGTGCAATTCCGATATGAAGATAGACTCGTAAAAATATGTATGTTTACCCTTGTCCTTCGAACTGTCGCACACGTAACTCTTGTATCGATATTAGAAACGCTGCGCGCCTCTATCGATATTAAACGATGTTTTTGCCACCCAAAGTGCAAATATAATACAAATAAAATTCGAAGTTACGTTAGGTGAAAGTTCGTTCAACGATCTAATAATAATAAATTTCAGTATCTTTAAATCTTTTGTAAAATTAAAAATGGGTTGAAGAAATAACATCAATAGATAATAAATTGTGTCCAATCTTATATAAAGTGTATTTTTACTATGTATCTCGAAGCATAAGGAATATGTAAAAATTTTCTAATCATTATTTTCTTCTTGAATTTTATCAGTATTATTATATTATAAATGTATTAAAATAGTATTAAAATTAATTATATAGTTGATTCTTTTTTCAAAATATCCACATGTGCCAATAATTTTACAAGTATAATCAGTTTTCCAATATTTCTTTCCTTTTTTTTTCTAAAATTCTCCTTTCGCTTTTTTAGCTATTGTGATCTACTTCACCGACTGTGGTAAGTTTAGCGTTAACTGGGAAATTATTATTCGAAAGGGTTTTGAATTACAATTATTAATTAGACGACGTAAATAATCAACTCGATTAAACGTTCAATCAAACGATAATACAACTCGCGGACATACGGTTGGTAAAAGTGTTGCAATGATAAACAATAACTAATAACGCTTCTTAGCGATTAATGTTTACTGATATCGAGCGTCCGCTGCAAATTGTTCTTCGCAAATATTCGGCAAACCCGGCGATGTTTATCAAAGCGATGTCAATACACCGTGTTTACAACACGGTAAAAATTGCACGAATAAATGCACAAAAACATCCGACACCATTGACAATTTGACTACGCGCGACGCAGCAATTATATCGAACAGCGAATTAAAAAACGTTGGGCGAAAGTACTTGTAAAACGTATTAATTTCAATGTCGCGTATTTTAAAACCGTAGATTGGGTAAAAAGAACGAGTTAATTGAAATGATTGGAACTGAAATCAAAATGGAAATAAATTTAACGATACACAATTTATTTTCACTGATTTCTTTCTTTCTTTTTTTACAGGCAGCCAAAAATCCAGAAATCAACGACTGAATAAACTGATACGACGAACAAAGGGTATATAACAGAAGAGTTTGTAAACATAATCTATTTTTAACGCGTATCTATGTTATCAAATTCCTTTGGCAAATATCATCACGCAATTTCGAATCACTGTGCCTCAGATAAGAGGGTATTAAGAAATATTTCTCTCGTTGTAATACATTAATTGATATCTGTGGTCAGACGATGATTATCAAACAATTATCGATAAGCGTAAAGATACGACTAAGAAGATAAGTAAAATGCGATGCTTTCGATATAACTGCATTTTTTATGAAATCATGAAACAACAGAATTTTAATAAATCAAACATACATCTTAAAAAGTAACATTTCTAAATTTCAATAAAAACCTAACCTCGTACAAGTATACGCGTAGAGCTCCTAGCGAACAAAAAATGAAGCAAACTGGGACACATGAACAGCGCTTCACGCTGAATGTAAACCGCTACTTACCCCATTTCGTCTACTTTCTATCCCAAATTCACCTGTACATGCATAGCCAACGTTCCCACAGAATACAAACGAAACTAACTAAGAATAGAGTCACAATGGTTCTCTAATCTAAGAACAACGTTCTTAGACAACATTCAGTGAAGAGAAAGCGAAAATAAAAACAGCAAAAGACCTGGGCCATTATTATCACGATTCGTCTTGCCTACGAACAATTTCGTTCCGAT